CTGCACCCCAGGACCCTCACATGCCACTCCTCTCCCCTCCTTGCCACCACCAGCTTGTTCTCCAGCATCTGGCTTAAGTGTCACCTCCTCCCCTTCCAGCCCAGCTCTCTGCTACCATCTCCCAGGACATCCTTTACCATTCCTCCACACACTGTTCCCATGGTGTTACTTGTGCAACTATTGGTTCGGAGTCTGTTCCCTCTCACTGCTGGACTAATAACCCCCTTGGAGCAAGAGCAGGGCTTCCTGTCCCCAGCTCCTAGCTCAATGTCTGACTTAGAGCGGGTGCTCCAAAATGCTTGGATCGATGTTGAACAAATGAATGGCCAGGCCTGCCAGTCATGCAGGTAGTCTTGGAAGGAAGCAAAAGTCACATCTGGGGACAAAACTCCTACTTGCCTGGGGCCAGGACATCTGGATCCTGGTTCTGCCACTCACTCCTACTGTGACCTCCTACTGTGACTCCTACTGCTCCCCTTCTCTGGGCCTCAGTGTGCTCTTTTGTGAAACGCAACAGTGGATGTGACATGCAGGGCCGTGGGTAGGCTTGAGGAGGTACAGGACTCTGGATATGTGTGTGTGTGTGTGTGTGTGTGTGTGTGTGTGTGCACGCGCGCACGCTCCAGCACACATCTCCCCACCAAGAACATCCGTACCTTTCAACAGATTCTGTGAGAGAAATCTGTGACCTCAGAAAGCTCAGAACCACTAACCAAGATCATTTTTCAACCCTGGGGGTTGACGATTCTGTAACCAGAGAGAAAAGAGGAAGTAATCCAACCCAGAGGAGCAAGGGTTGGATTAGACCCCAGAATTTCTATCAGGGTTACAGGACCCCACAACAAAAAAGCAAGGGAGACTGCAGGCCCTGGGTCCCCTGGAGCCTCCCACACTCCAAGGGGCTCTGGGCTGGGAGAAGCGGAAACCAGACGAGCTGACCCCGGGGCTGGCTGTGGCAGGGAGGAGGCAGAACCAACCTGGAGCCTCTTCCCCTCTGCTCCCACCACCATCAGACAAGCACCCACTTGTCCTGGGATATGGCACAGAGCAAGGAGGCGAGGCTGGCACCTGAAGATGCCCGCCAGGCCCCTTGGCGCCCAGGTCAGACAAGGTTGGCGGGAAAGCTCAGGAGGGGTGCCAAGCCTCACCCTCCTTCCTCCTGAGGCCAGTATATGGGGCCAGAGGCGGGTGCAGATGTGGGGGCACTGTGGGAACAGAAGGCTACTGAGAGGTGCAGGGCTCAGGGTTCCGGGCTCTGACAGTCCAGAGCAGGGCTCAGAGACCTGAGAACCAAGGCTGGCAGCCCTCCTCAAGGCGAAGAGGAAGAGCAGATCACAAACTCAGGCCAGAGGAAGAAGTAGGCAGACAGGGTGTCTCGGGGCAAAGAGCGTCCCATGGTGAGAAGAGAGCCTGCTTGTGAGTCTGAGCCGGGCAGCATGGCCGACAAAGTGCAGCAAGGCTGGAAATGGAGTCAGTGAAAAGAGCCCAGCCTGTGGCTCAGGCGAGAAGCTTGGCCTGTGGAACCCCTGGCAGGAATGGCGGCGTGTCTGTAGCAGGGCCGTCAGCGGGAGGGCTCTGGCTGCCAGCCCAGATGCCTGGGTAGCTTCTGAGCCCTGGCTCTGAGGGGGTGAAAGCCTGAGAGATGTTTATCCACCCCAAGAACGTGGGTACCACGCCTCCTCCAGCAAGGGCCCAGGTGATAGGCGGCAGCTGCTCTTTCCTGGGCCACTCAGTCTCCTGAGAGCTGCACTGTGAATGGGGCCTGGGCAGGGGGAGAGCAGCCGCCCCCACATCCCCTGCTGGAGCCAGAGCCGGGGCACACGTTGGGGCCAGGGTTTTATCCATGCAGATAAAGGACCGAGTGAGTCACAGCAAGTTCTCTCAAGAGGCCACTGGGAAACCAGCTCATCCAAATGCAGACACATACTCGCCCCATCCTGTCTATGTCCCTGGTGCTGTCACACAGCAGCACACACACAGCTGCTTTTCCTTCCCCCTCTCTGTGATCACCCATTCCAGTGACCTGGGTCCCTTCCCCCATCTCAGCCCTGACTACCCTGTCTCTGTCCACTCTCATTTGGCCCAATATGCACCCATCCACGCCATGGGGCGTGGGGGAGGCTTGCTGTAAGGAGACTGGGGCCAACAGAGTCCTGAGCCCACAGGCCTAGGTCTTAGGATGAAATTAGTGAAGAGAGCTTAGGGATAAGTCTGAGAAGCAGTGGAGAACATGGGGAACTAGAAGGCCTCAGCCCCAAGGAATTCTACCAGGTCAATGGGCCGTACCTGACAAGAGAAATCTGGGTGCCTGGGGGTCTGAGGTGCCCCCAGGGTTCTCTTCACCAACCCCAAAAATACCAGGAAAAGAGCTCAAATTCCCAGAGGAAAAGCTCAGATTAAAAGGACTTCCTGGCCAAGAAAGATCTAAGCTAAACACACATAAGGGAGAGAGACAAAGATTTCCTCACTCCCTGGCACCTTCAAGGGCAGAGGAGAGGAGGTGAGGTTCTGAGGCAGAGGCAGGACCCTGATGACTCCACAGAGGCCCTACAGTCTGACAGTTCTGCCTTGTTACCCACATTCCCCACCAGGACCAAGAAGCAGTAGTCCAGGGTGCCCGATCCACACCCCAGGCCTCCGTCAGAATCACACTGGCACAGGAGTCACCGTGAAGGCCCAGGCAGCAACCACATCCCCAGGCCTGGCCCTCACCACGGTTGTCACCTGTGTGAGGGAAGAGGCTATAGCTCTTGAAGGATGCAGTGTTTGGTTTACAAGTGCCCAGCGTTGTGCCTGGCACTGTGGAGTATAACCACAAATATGCCATAATCTGTGCCCTGGAGGGACACTCAGTTAGGTGGGGCAGAGGGCAGCCGCCCAGGCACACACAACACACACATGCGCACACATGCACCAAGCATCCTAGACACGCTGGCTTCACCGGCTGCCCCTGAGCAGGAGGCTGGGCTGCGGCGGTAGGGTGCATGCAGAGCCACCCTGTCTCTGCGTGCCTCCAGTGGGGGATGTAAGACCAAACCTTCACCCAGACCACAACTCAGCAGACAGATCTGAGGGGTTGCTGCCTTCCCGGTCCCACCAGGAGGAAGGCTGGGGTCTGCAGAAGGCCTGGAGCACAGCTGGCCAGTCCCTCTGGCCCCAAATTCCACCTGCTCTCAAGGGAAACATCCAGGTCTGGTAGGGGTTTTGTGGATGGTTTATCCAGAACAAACGTCTGTCTCCCTGGTCAGCTCCCCATTCAGAGCTCCAAGATTTACCCAGAACCAATATGAAGTCCACCTGTCACCATCCTACTCAGTCCATGCTGTGTTGGGACCCTGCGGGCTCAGAGCCCAGCCCCCTGCCCACCTCTCCCCCTGGGGCAGCTCAGGGGACATTAACCCTTTTCCTCCCCTGCCCAGCACTCCCATCTGCTCCCTCTCGGGCAGCAGCTCCCAACCCTCCCCAGAGTTGTTTGTCTTTCTGAGTCAAGCCCCAAATCACCTCCTCCCAAGGGCACAAGAGACCCAGGTGAGACCAACACGGAACTGGCTGCCCTCCACCTGGTCTAGTCCAACCCTGCTGCTGGGACAGCGCGCAGTCGCGGACCGGCACTTTCCGGGCTTGCCTCTGTACCTGTGTCAGGTGGCCTGGGCTCTGCGGGCCACCCTGTTCGGACCCGGGCGACCTTCCTGCCCACTCCCCTGCCCAGAGTCCTACCTGGAGGAGCAGCCGCCGCCTCTCGGCGCGGGCCGAACCCCGGGGCTCCCGGCACTCTGCCCGCGCTGGGGCCGAGGGGCTCCCCGGGGGCGGGGGGCCGC